ATTTAAATACATTCATAGATTAAATGATTAAATTAGTAAAGTACCTATATTTTAATGAAGTTTGTATATATACATCTTAATTTTTTTTCTTTTTTTGTTTATCATTGTTATTATTATACTAATATTGTTTTTTCTCATTTTATTTATGTCATTGTAAAATTAAGTTAAATAGAAAATATTTGTGCATTTGCACGAGGTATCGAACTAGTAACAATAAAGAGATAAATAAATTAGAAAAGTGAAAATAAATAATCACATCTAAAATATTTAATAAGAAAGAGAATGTACCATTAATTTAAGAGAGAGAATGTGGGATCTTGGTTGATCAATTTTACCCGTGGGTCCCACATAAAAATTAAAAATATTTTTATTTAAATAATAATAAAACTCCTTTACACATTACACAATTTCAATTGAAGTAGTATAGAAGTTCTCCCTACTACGCGAGGATTATAAATTTTCTCATGCTGATACAACACATAATATATATGTGATATGTATCTAATTTACCATTGATATGGTATCTACTGATATAACTTTTTATATTATTATATGATTTACCACTAATATAATACTGATATATATTTGATATATATTTAATATGTTTATAATTTACCACTTATATATCTTTGATATAACAATTATATCTACTAATATAACTATAATACATGTGTGTTGATATAGTACTATTATATCCTTTTTTTTTCAGATGAAAACAATGGTGCAAAATTTTTTATTTTTTATTTTTGAAATATAAAGTTATTATATAAAAGGTTTACGTGAACTATGCATGTCAAAAATACAAGTTAAAATTTTGACATACTTTATAAATTTAAATAGTTGATATCTCTTATATTTAGTATCTAATTAATATTAATATTGAATAAATAATAGTGATATAGTAATCAACATTATTTATTATATTAGTATATTAATCAACCAATTGAAATTGTAAACTAGAATTTAAACAGCTGATATACCACTAAAAATTAAACATTTGATATACCTTATATTTAGTATATCAGTTGTAAATATATTTAGTATATTATTAATTAGAAATACATCAGATATATATTATATGTACAATACGTACATTTGATGTATATCAATGGTATATCTAATAATGTATATCATGAGTACATCTGATACTGTATATTAGAGGTATATCGAAAGTATATTAGAATTACATCGGATGTATATTAGATATAGATTGGATGTATATCATATACAAATTTACATCAAATGTATATAAAATATAGATTTGATGTATGATATACATAAGATGCATATCAGATATAGATATACATCAAATATATATATCATATATCGTAAGGATAAAATTGGAATAATAAAAATTTCGAAAATAAAATTCAAATATTTCGCTATATTTGAAATTTTAAAAAAGTTTGTGACATTTTTTGAAATAAATCAAATATTTTTGCTAACCATTACAAGAATTACCCTTGATTTTTTTACTTGTTTGGTTATAGGTCTATGGTGGCTGCTGACCTGGATGAGTTCCTAATCCTCATCAGGTTTTCCTATTTCTATTTTTCCGCAGTTCCCATCATTCAATCCAAGATCCTTTTCTTTTTGTACAATCAATATCATTTATCCTAACTTGGTAGACTTTTGATATACTCGTGAGTACCAAGTGCGATTTAATGCATTTATCTGGGTGAATTTTAGAATTTTTGTTACATACAAGTATTTTTTTTGTTAGAATTTGATACATAACTAATATAGAATTCTTCGAGTATGCTCATTGTCCGAAAAAGCGATCTTGCCAGTATCAATATAAATGATCTTTCTCTTAACTCTAGCGGCAACCCCTGAACCTCGAGCCACTTGACGTAACAATCCAGTTCCAACAATGCATTTTTTGGACCAAGAAAGCAGCACTGCTTGATGTTGCATATCATAACTCATTAAAGCACGAAGCATATAAAATTTATCATTTTATTACTATTTACTCGATCGAAAATCGTTTTATTATTCCAATACAAAACTTTTTTTATTCCTATCCTTCTAAATTTCTTTAATTTCTCTCCCGCTTTCTATCTCCACCCTCTAGCATATAAAATGTAAGACTTGGAATTTGTATCGTTTACGAAACTATTTTTCAATTGCATCTAATGTATACTATTTTAATTTGATCTTATATATAAATAGATTTTCTTGTTTGGTATAGCCTCTCAACATGTTTGTCGACTCCGTACCAATTTTTAGATGATCACCACTAAATTTTTTACAAATAAAATGATATCTTTAAAAAAAATTAAAGATGAGACTAATAAATCAATATTTAAATGTTTCTATGAAAGATCAAAGTATGGTAGAAGCAAGTACGCAATCAGAAAAGATAGAAAAAAAAAAGTTCTAAGATGCTAAAGATGCCAATAGACATCATTCTTTACATGTAAACCTTGGTAGTCTAATAAAGTTCATTTTGTTTATAAAAAAAAATTTACAGCTCTAATATATATTTTCTCTCAGTTTCATACCAAATATGTTTATAGTTCATTAAATGTACATAACAATAATTTTTCTATTTTTTTTTTACAATTTTCTAAACAAATCACTACTAGAAATTTAGCTTGAGATGATGATGAAATCATGTGATCAAACAGAATCAATGACGAAACCGCTCCGACATTTATTCGGACATCATCTCTGATCTTTACGTGATAATTAATAAACGTCGCAATTACGTGACAGTTGACAGCTGTGAAGTATTGTCATTCACAAATTATCAGTAATTGTTTATAATTGAATTGATCTAATAACCCTTTTAAAATAAAGTTTACAAATTACCATCTAATAGAATATTAACCGATTATCAGTAATTGTTTTATATCGAAAGAATATCAAGTATGGTTGGCTGTAATAGGATTTCAATGCTAGAATCAACCCCTCCCCTTTTATTTTGAATTTACTTGTGGATTGTTATGTGCCTTGTTCATGCACCCCCTCTAACTTATTTGTTGTTTCATTTCCATCCATTTTAGTTTAGTTTAAAAAATAAGTAAAAGCATATTTGTTCGGTCATTACTTCCTTAATTTAATTTCTCGGGTGTGTTGGTAAATATCCTTGTGGGAACGATCCTTTTATTACTTGTTGCAATTATTTTGTGTACACTTGCATATCGTTTGACACATAGATTAGATTGTTAGGATAATATAAATGATAGCGGCTAACTTAAAGAGAAAATTTAATAGGAAGCATAATATTTTACAATATTGAAATATATATATGCACATCTACGTTAAGAGTAAATCAACATTTCCAGAATATTACAAAAAGTTGTCAAAATGTGAAAAATATACATATATATATATATAATATTTACACCATAAATACCTAAAAGTTTTGTCTGAGCCCAGGTTCGAATTGGGGACCACTAGTGTGTGAGACTAGCGTGATAACCAACTACACCACCCAGACTTGTGGAATATGACAGAACTAATAAATTATCTAAAAAATAATAACAAATTTTTATTATATTTTGTTTTTTTTTGTTTGAATATAAAATTCAAATTTTTTCTTGTGATAATTCAGATATTTCATGATATTTATATTGGACTTATTTGTTAGTTTTCATTTCTTTATGACATATTTACATACCTACAATAAATTGTGGAGGGATGAATAATTGAGAGGAAGACATAAATGGATCAAATTGATATATTTATGAGGTGTGCACGTTCATGGCGGCATTTAATAACTTCTTTTTATCTTTTATTAATACAAATATGATATAAAAAGTGAAAAAAAATAATGAATGATAAAATTGTCATGACATAATAAAGAAAATGTTTAAAGTTAAAAGGACAAATAGGAAAATAAAGTTTCTCCCTGTAGTCCATTTTATATATAACTAGTATTTATAAAACACCTGCATAGTTTTATTTTAAAGTATAAAAATATAAAAATTAATTAAATAGTTAAAACTTATAATATAATCGGACTCTTTTATATCTCAAAGTTTATCTTACTAAGTTTTTTTGTATTTTCCATATTTATCTCATAAAATCAACGTTTTAATAATTCTCATCACTCACAGATCCGGTTGATGTGACTAAAAAATTGAGAAGTGTCGACTACTTGAAAGTTTCTCATAAGTAAACACAACAAGCAAGAATAAACATATGAAAAAGACACATATTCATGGATTTTTCATCCTTTTCTGTTCCTAAACATAACGATGCATAAAAGAAAGAGGAAAAAAAAACGCAAGCATGTCAATCTCTTGTAATCTTTTTGAATTAGGTAATCAAAATCTTATTTGAAATTACAATTATTAACATTGCATCGAAAGAAAAACTAAAATTTAAACATTAGATTAAAAAAGATAAGAAAAACACAAGACATTGATTAAAGAAGAAAAAAATACCGGATAAAGAATGCTCAAATTTTGGTGAGAAAAAAATTGGAATGAAGGGTAAGAAAATGCTCTTTATATAGTCGAAAAGGATAAATAGTTACAAAACGTTTGAATTCCTTATTTATTATAATTAAAAATAAGTTATAGTTTTTCTAAATTAATTCATAGAAACAAAAGAAAAAATAACGTAGCTTAACCATTTGAGCTATGCTCGATTTGACTACCTTTTTACCATCTTTAACTCTTAAAAAAAGAGACCATTATACATATGTATTTTTAAATATCCATCTAATCAACTAAATTTTATTAGTTCACTCATATATGAGGGTAGAGATTCGAATGAGATAGATGGCGGGAAGTTATATTCTTTTAAATTATTTAAAAAAGATAAAAGATAAATCTCCGTTGAACTTCTTGATTGGTTACATGGAGATTATTTTCAAAGATGAGCTCTTGCCCTTTTATTTTTATACTTGTAAATTAATACAAGGAATAAGTAATCCCAATAAGGAACTTGATTTTTCAACTTTCCAATTAAGGAAAATAAATAAAATGCTTATTTCACTCCCAACTCTTCATATATATATATATATATATATATATACACTATTGGAGATAGGATACACATCACTTAAGAAACGTGACCAAAATGGTACTTAAAATGCTAAGAAACTTTATACAATATATTAAGGAATTGAAACAACGATAATAGCTCCCTCTCCTATTCTTGGTTAGTTAAAAAAAGTGCTAAGTACTGCTAGGGACATGTTTATGTAACATTCTCATTTATTGTTTTTCGTTTTTTTAAGAAATATAAGCATTTGAGAATTTCCTATTTCTCGTTACACATTTAAAATAGTTTCTAAAATAATGTCTAGATTTTAGAAACAATAAAATAAAGTTCTTAAAGTATTATTTTGTCGTTTTGACTTATAAAATACTTAATAAATATAACATAAAGATTGAATGTTTAACTAATAAATAATAATAATAATTTTCATATAAAAATTTACTTCTTAAAAAAATTCCTTGGGTTTTTTCTGGGTACGAAAATGTGCTATATTTTTTCTCCAAATAATTACATATCATTTTAATTTTCTCTAATTTTAATGTATTGATTTAAATATAGTAAAATAAAAATCATAAAAGAGCAAAAATTACACCTAGAATATAGTTTCCATTCATGTAAAAAACCATTATAACTTTTCAATCGTAGGCTAATTAAAACGGGGAAATTACGCTTCTCCTGGTCATTATTGAATGTTTGATAGCTGAGTTAGAAAAATGCAAAAATATAGGTTATTTTTTTAAAAAATAATGAGGTCATAATAGAGATAGTTCCTCATGAGTACTTTCTTAGAACCAAGCCAATGACTATACTATTTAACTATAACTATTGCTTTAATTGAAAGTGTTTGGGTTTGTTGCAAATTTGGTCCATATGAATTTGGATGATTTTCAATGTAATCCTTATAGTATCAAAAAGTTTCAATTCAGTCCTTATGATTTGATTTAATTTTAATTTGATCCTATAATTTGGTTAAATTTTATAAATTATCTCATTTTCTATTTACAGGTAAATGAACTTTTAAGTTTAGTTGACTATGTTAGATAATTGTATTGAGGTTTAAATCTAAGTAAAAATACTAATAATAATAATAATAAATATAAATATAAATATAAATGTTTGGTTGGTAAAAAGCAATTTAGGGATAATTTATAAAATTTTACCCAACACCTGGAACCAAATTCCAAATCGAAATCAAATCCAAATCATACACAAGTAAAATGAAACATTATATCATAACAACCAAATTAAAACTGAATTCTAATTATAGAAACCAAATTGGTGGTTTAAATATAAACATCTATTTTGTTCGGTCCATCTTGACTAATCTCACGAGACAACCACCTGACTCTACAACATTTGATGTCGAAAAACACATCAGAATTACTACTTCTTAAGGTAGGTGACCATAGCGAGATTTGAACTCATTCCCTTGCTAAATTTTTTGAAATATAGTCATAAATTTTTTTAAATTACAGAATAAAAACTAACATTTTAAAAATATAAACACAAATAATTATATATAGAAACTAAAATAAATATTTCAATAATTTCATGGCCAAAAGTATAGTACAGGGAGCCATGATTAAAAATTCAGTGTCGCATACTATTTAGGTGACCGGATGACAAGAATGAGCTACACCACTCTGCACATCAGAGTTTGGCTAAACCTAAAACATCTTATTCAAAATAACAAGAGAATATTAGAGGAACAAATAATTGCATAACCTTAATTCCATTTACAACCCAGAAAAGAAAAAACTTTCATTCCATCCTCAACAGAAAAAGGCAGAATGCTCCAACCACAGTAGTAGCCAAAAACAGACTGCAAAATTCTGTGTTCTGATATCAAAAGAACATATGGAAGCACTGGAAAGAAATGGAACAAACTCAGCTTATATAACATTCTTCCGCCTCTTTTTTCGGAGGTAAAATACTGTCAGTTCTGTTTGGCGTTAACTAAAAACGTGCAGTAAGTGTTCAAAAAATGGGAAGATCTGACCACAATCAAGTCATGTCTTCTTCGTTCAGATTCTCTCCAAGGAGGTCGTCATCATATGAYACTGGTACTCTTATTCTATCGTGAACAGACAATCGATTTTCTTCAGAATTTGGTTGTTTAGATTGATTTTGCTCTGGAGTAAAGCTCTGGGCGATACCCGGTTGATCTCGTGAAGATCCATCAGAGAAGATGTGGGGAAGAACCTTTTCAGAGTTCTCTTTCTCAGTTCCTGTTGCTTCCCCCCTGAGATTTGGTTGCTTAAATTGTTTCTGCCCCATCATTATGAACCAAAAAACGTGTGACTGTGATTGTCATACTACCAAATTTGTAATAACTAATAAAGACTTCAAAAACACAATTAAAAGTATAACTCTTCAAAACACAATAAAATCCAAGAGAGAAGAAAACATAATATAAGCCATTTGAGAACTGTCAGATAGAAGCTCCCTGGCAAACTGAGGCCACTCAGAATAAGATGAAAGATTCGGAAAGATGAAAATTTTGCCTTGAGTTGACTATGAAACAAAACAATTTAAAAATTGTGGATTTAGAGGCATTCTTTCCTCTTGTAGAGGCCGCATTAGTTCATTCTTTGTAGGAAGACATCTCTGGATTTAGGTCACATCATTTGGAGTTATCAGTTCGCTCGTTTGATTGGGGATGGTTTTTTTGGAGACCCTTTGGAGTTTGTGTAACTTGTAACAAGGATTGTTACCGGAGGATTTTGAGCTTTTTTTTTCTTTTTTTTTTTTAATTAAGTATCTACATTGAGATAAATATTAGAATCTTTAGGAGTTGAGAGTTCTCATCCTCAGTTAGGTTTAATGGCTGTATCTCTGCCGATTTTTTTAATTATTGGCAAGGCCTTATTTTTTTGGATTGGAGATTTTTCTTGTTTTGTAAGGTCAAGGCCTGGAGTGGCTCCTTTTCTGAACTCTCAGCCTTTTAGACCGTGGTGTTGGCCTAAATTGATCCTTTTGTAGATTACAATTCTTCTTGATGAAAGGTAAATTTCTTGATAATAAAATAAATAAATAAGCATCTTCCAAGAATATTGATAACATTTTCCTATGCGACCAGGATAGGAGTAGCACATTCATATGACACAAATAAAAGAATAAGTCGCCTATTAGTCTTCCGAGTGAAAAACTACGTCAAACAAGTTTAGTTACACACCTCAAATTCCTTCGCTCGTTTCATAATCTCTTTATAGGCATTTGGTTCCCGGGTTTTGATGATGCTCCATAATATACCACCTCCTGTTCGAAAGCGCCGGCCATCTGCAGTCATCTGACCTCCACAAGCCTGAACTGCATTGACCTGGAGTTCCGAAATGTCAACTTGTATACACACACACAGATCATACGGGTGTTGTGTAGTAAAATAAGAGAAGTGCTAATATCAGTTCAAGCAACATCAACCATTGGTTTATAAGTATTCTTCCTATCTCTAGGGAAGCGTCATTAGTAACTCAAAAGGGCTGGCGGGGCCTTCAGAATAGACTAAGTACTAAACCAATAAATTTCAAACCCTGGGACCAACAAATGAGACCAAGTACTAGACACCAAGAATATGACAGTTAAAAATATATATTCAAACTTCTCACTTTCATTGCATTTCAATGGAGTCAACAAGAATAATCGGGTGGAATACACATTTTTTGGAATTGGATGCCAAAGAGTGACCAATGCTYAAGTTTAGTAAAGGACAAATCTTACAGAGATCGTAACCAACATATATATGCTGGGATAATAACATCATCTTATATAGCACAGACGAAGTGGTCCAGCCATGGTGGTTCACAGCTCAGAGAACAAGGTTAAAAGTAGCAAAATGGCTTCAGCAACAGAATCTGCAAGGGTAGTAAATAATACTGATTAAATATGAAGAGTGACTGTGTGGTATGATACTTGCTGGAGTGGATGGCCATGGTTAGGCAGGCCAGTCAAAAATTAAGTTCAACCGAAAATTTTCACCTTTTAGCAGGAAGAGGGCAGAATCATTCGTGACCTCAGGAAAAGTATTGAGGATAGAAATAATAACTGAACAAAGGCATATGGCACAGAAGTAAAGTAATTCATGAGTTGTGCTCACTTAGGGCAGGAATGAAAACCCAAAAAGAAAAGGACTGATAAAACTCATATAGGTTGGTTTGATGAATAGGGGGAAAGAACTATAAAGTAGGACAAAATTAAAACAGAAAGGAAATTATATAACTAATGTTTTTTTTATAACCCAAAGTTGGAGCTTTGCTTTCCCATGATAGGGCATCCACGCCCGTCCCAAGACTTTGACCCGAGAGATATCAAGAATTTTTTTTTATTAAGCTCATCCAAAGGTTCGAACATGCAACCTCTGGGTAGGTGTTACACGGAGACTACATGCCCTTAGGCCTTACTAACAAGTCGTCTTGGGGCAATTGGACAACTGATGTTAATCGATAAGCAAAAAGATATTCTTATCACGTTCTAGTAAAATCAAAATACCTCGTTGATAAGTTCGCTTAATGCAGAGACTCCCAGACAACCTACAGCAGTGTACACCATGTATGATTTTTTCTCCTTCAAACGCCGGCATGTATCTAACACAAACCTGAGAGAAACAGAAATCAGAATAATATTACAACCAGAATACAAGTTCCTAACTAATTGCTACTTGTAAATCCATTAAAGTATATCCATTTTATGTGATTCACAAAAATAATATGGGTAATTAAGTAAGGAACGTGTGCTTGCAAGATTAGGAAATTCCAGTTAACCTGTTAATATCTGTGCCATTTGAACCTGACTCGCTAGTCTTTCTTTTGTTCTTCTTTTTCTTTGCCCGACGTCTACGGTTTTTACTTTTATGATCTATACTTGGTGCATGGACATCTGTAAGACTGCTTGTCTCTGTATCATGTGGTACGTTGCCGTCGACGAACTCTCCTTCTTCCACATCAGCCATTTCAACATCGTCATTTTCCAAGTCATCATCTTCATATATGGCATCGAGTACGTTCTCTTGTCCATCCATAAGATACCTTGACTATAGAAAATAATCAGACACTCTTGTTAATAGAAACAAAAATTTTAAGAAAATAATCAGACATTCGAGATAAACTATCAGGAAACTCATATGCAAAAAGAAAATGAAATCAACATTATATCTTTTGGGCGTTCAATGAGATAAAAACTACTCAAAAGTAAAATGCCAAAATTGGTTGCCAACACTATTGGAAGAATCTTAAGCAACTTCTTTCTCGAGCGAACTGCTAATTATGATGGCCCCAATCTTGTTCCTCGAAGAAAATAAGAATCTGGCTCTGGAAATTTTCTAATGAGGAAAGCTCCTTTTGGCTCAAAATTATTGCCCTAAAGTATGGCACTGATCATATTGGAAACTATAAACTAGTGCATACAAACAACAATCATAAGACTCTAAATATTTCATCCAAAAAAGAAGCACACAGTGATTCATCTCATGAACAGTCATCATTTCAGAACAAGAAAACAACAAAATGGAAATTTAACACACCACTTCAAAGTTTACACAACAGTCTCGCACTATTAATTGAAGGGTAGTATAAACCATAAAGAACGTAATAAAAAATGCTAAAATTGAGATGGGTGCAGTTCAAATGCAATCAAATTTGAAATCTGAAACATACCCAGAACGTGGAGAGAGGAAATAATCGAGTGGGGGGAAGGGGGATGAAACTTTTACTGTAAATCGAGAGTGAGGGGCCGATGGAGACAGGTATGAAGCTTTATCTAATGGAATTTATTGTGTATATTAGGGTAGAAAGTTCAGTTCATGAGGGAGGGAGCAATGGAGGAGGAATTGGGAATCGAGAGACGCCTGAATACTGAAACTACAGCGTGAGAATTGCGTCAAAAACTTTTTTATATGGGGAATTTATACTTCTTTCACAAATATATATATATAGATATATAAATGGGGGATTCATGCATATCCCATAGGTTAACAAAGGTTTCATTTTTACTCTTTTAAGTATAAATACTATTTTAGTGATAATTGGTAGAAGAAAAGTTGGATCTTCCAGCCCTATGTTGTATTAAAACAAAAAGATTTTATACTTTACAGATATTTATTTTGATTATTGTACTTTCAATTTAGTTCATTTTAGTCCATTAATTTTCAAAATGTTCGTTTTAGTCACTGTACTATTAAAAATGATAATTTTAATCTCTAATTTTTCTTAATCTCATTTTTCTACCACAATTTCAACATGATAGTACACTCAATGGATTTCTTGAAATATAATAATGACTTTATATTAAATGGTCTCTGTTACGTGTACACAGTTGTATAATAAATTTTATGAAAGAAAAAAAATCAAATGGCACATACTTTGTTTACTTACATAATTAATACATGCCTGTGAAGATAAGTAAAACTTCACCCAATATAGGTTGAGGGTCGTTCGGAGTTCAAGTTCGACATCTTAAATATGAAAATGTTAAGTTTGAGGGTTAAACGGAGGGGTAGGAAACCAATATTTTCTACTAGAGCTCCATCATGTACTATTTACATCAAAACCCTCAAAAAATGAGAGCTCGAGTGGAACAAAACAAATGATGTCAAATTCACAATTCTTCTCTTTGTTACAGGATAGAGCAACTTGGTAATCGCAAGGCTCGTAACCTTAAAGTCATGGTYCAAATCCTGTCTCCGCAAAATTTTATTTATTGTCTAAAAAACTGAAGTTTGATTTTAGTAACTAGTAATTAATTACTATTAATTTAGCTTTTTTAAATGATTGTGTTTACAACAGTTACCTAAGTAAGTTTTAGGTTGAAACTCGTCGGGTTGTCCAACAAACTCTTGACTTGACAAACCCACGGGATAACACACGAGTTTGACATCTTAAATTTGAAAATGTTAAATTTGAAGGTCAAATAGAGGGATAAATGAAGTGTAATAAGCACCCTATTATCTTTTTGTTAGTCAATTAACGGACAAATGAGGTTAAAGATTATTTAGAATAATTTTTTGAACTTTAGAGACTAAAGTATCAATTGAAATTTCAACCTCAAAAAATGAGTAGACACTTTTATCGCCTCATGTCCAACTAAAAAAATTATCTTAACGAGTCATAAATCATACATCATTTTCTAATATAATATCCATGAGTTATAAAATCACGATCGTTTGATAAACCATTATTTTTTTCTTTTTTGGTTTTTGAAAAACAGTCCTCTTTGATGACTCATTCAATTTTCAATTTTATGTTTTTTATAAATGTTTTTTAAATTCTAAGTAAATTTTAAAACGTAGAAAAAAAAAAAAGATTTATGATTTTGAAGGTCTCGTTTTCTTCTCCTCTTCAACTTTTTGTTTTCTGTGACATGTTTTTCTTTAACAAATTTATTTCTTCCTCTAAATTTTTTCATGCCTAAATTTCTATCTATGTAATTTATCATATTCTCTCAAACTTTTCATTTACTAACATTTTACTTTCATTTTTTTCCCCCTAAAAATTGAATCCAAACTTTTTTCTCTCTCAAATTTTATCATTTATAACATTTATTTTTCTATATAATCTAATTTCGTTGTAGCAAATATATCACCCATTTTTCTCTATCTAAATTTTGGCTCTTTCAATTTTATTTCACTTTCATTTTTTTATTTGATTTTCTCTAATAAATATATCTCGAATTCTTTTATGTATAAAATTTTGTTCTTTACTCCCATATGTTTAGTTCTACTCTCTTTCTCTAAAAAGGAAGGTTTAGAGAAAGAGAGAATAGTTAGGTCTTCGTTCCAAGAACAAATAATGTATTTTCTACGATTTTTTCTCCGATTCTATTTTTTAAATAATAAATATATATTTTAGTAACGGGTTATTTCTTTTGATAAAAAACTATTTTATTAAATTAATAATAAAATATTAAATATATTTTTTAAACTAATTATTTATACTTAAAATTTATATATTTATCCTTTGCAAAAAGAAAAAAAAATATATATATATATATATATATATATATATATATATATATATGTATTTATCCCTCTTCTTAGGATGGTAATTCTAAAAATATTAAAATTAATTACTAAATCGGTAACTTTCCAAACGAAAAAACTTCATTCCCAAATGAGAATTCTTCGACTTAGATCGAACTAGACTTCAATTCCCGAAATAAGAGAATGAGGTTAGAATGATGACTAAAAATTTTCAAAATGAAGATGGAGGACATACTTCACCCCATGAATTATCATCTCTACTCTATATATCTTTTCGTCTAACTTTTAAAAAATAAAAAATAAAAAATATTTTCAAACAGTTTGTTTTATGTTTTTCGAAAACATAAAACAAAAACAAAAACAGTTATAAAAAATATATGACTTTTATTTTTCAAGAACTGAGAACAAAAACCATAAAAACAAAGAACAGAATCGGTCATGTGTATGGATATATTTATTATAATCAGTTGAATTATTATCTTTTTAAACTTCTGTTGGAATTGACATATTTTTTTGCATTTCTTGAAAGGATTGACATTTTTTTCCTTAAACTTCATCTTTAAAATTTAGCAAAACACAAATCTTCTTATCAAACACGAACCACACAATGAGGAAAAAGAATTATTGAGAGAGAGACAGGGAGAAGAAAAAGAAGATTTTTTTTAATTTTTTTTCCTTTTTGTTTGCTTTTGCAAATTTGGAGAAGAAGATGAAGATGGGAATTGTATTGAATGCAGGAAGGTGAAGAATTCCGCCTGTGTCCTACCAATCTCACCAATTTCAACAAATCCCATGGCCGAGACTCCTCGAAGACATTGTTACAAACGTCCACTCTCTCTCTTCTCTCTCTCTTAAACATCGACGACCCTTTCAAGAAACAAATCAACCGTTTCAGAAAAGCCATCAAATCCAAAAAAGCCTTTACGTTTCGAGAGAGAGAGAGACAGGGGTGCGTGTTAAAAATTTATTGTTATCCTTTCTAAACGGTGCGAGAGTGACCCCAATTCCGTTTCATTTCTCTCCGAATCTGCTTTCTCTTCTTCATCACTCAATCGCTCGGAGCTCAGTGCCTCCCCCAGATTCTGCTCCTCCTTCGTCCATTTCCAATTCCACTGGTAATTTTGTTATGGGGTTTCCTTTTCGCAATTGTGTCGGTTTGTGATCTGATTTCTTGCATACCCTTTTGTAGTTTCTGATATATTTCGTCGATTGGGGTCGAGAATTCCGCGAAAATGGGGTTGATTTCGGGGATCTTTATGGGGGTGATCTTTGGGATTGCATTGATGGCCGGGTGGCAGCACATGATGAGGCACAGAAGCACCAAAAGAGTTGCTAAGGTATCTGGATTGTCTTTTGCCCTTTAGGAAGGTTTTGGAATTTCTTTGGTTTATCATGCTCAAATTTATGCCAATTTTTGTTTATTATAAGTCTCTTTTTGCGCGCGCTCGTTCTCTGATTTAGTGTTTGCGTATATATTGTTGATAGGCTAATTTTGTAGCTTATTTGACGAATTTCTTGTGATATAATATACTGGTATCAGTTCCTTATGATTAGAAATGGCCTGGGAACTGTTTTCTTTTTAGGCTCGACTTGATTGGATCATGGCTGCTGGAGTTTTTCATTTATTTTTCCTGTGTTAAGGTATCTATAAAAGATTGCATTTAGACTAATCCACTAGCTTAAGCTGATTTAACATGGTATTAGAGTAGATAGTCTTGTGTTCGAACCCCTATAATGTCATTTCATCCCCATATTTTCAAGCCTACAAGTATGGAGGGTGTTAAATTATCTATAAAAGATTAAATTTACCATAACTCATCAACTTAAGCTTTTGGGTTGAATCATGCTTGACACCTTTGGTTATTTGGGGCTTTTGGGAGATTGCAACTCTCTATTCCTTTGTTAAGAAAGCACATTAGAAAATTATCTTAACTTATCAATATGGTCAATGGAAGACAGATTGCCAATGAAATGTTAGTATATAAAGTTTGGCCATGCATGTTTTCTGAGAACTTGTGTGTCTATTCCATTGAACAGGCCGTTGATATGAAAATTCTTGGTTCTCTCAGTAGAGATGATTTGAAGAAACTATGCGGGGATAATTTTCCTGAATGGATCTCTTTCCCAGTTTATGAACAGGTTCATGTTTTTTTCTTACCTCGTCCTTTCATTTTTTTGCTGATCATTATTGTGTTTACCGTAATGCATATCTTGAATGTGTGATGCTTTATCACACTAGTTGTATTATTGAAAAATATAATAAGATACTTTTTTGTTTATTAACATAAACAATAATGGTGGTTTTAATAATAATAATAATTTTTTGTGTTAAGGTTTCTGTTAATGATTTTAAGTTTGCTGAAAATTTTCCAGTGATGACTGATGAGCATTGTTCATGATGTCAAAGTTGGTTCTTGTGCCCACGATAGAGTTTGACGTTCGGATCTTATTTTTTTGAAATTATTATTATTATTAATTTTTTATATTTCTTAATGTTTGATTTTTCGCCCCTAAAGCCCAGTTGGCAGGAGCTTGGGGTCTCTTGGTCATACTGGCTTAGAGTCTCAAGTTCGAACCTTTTGGTGAGCTTAATATAAAAAATCCTTGATGTCCTTGGGCATAGAGTCCGGGTCTTGGGGCGGGCGTTGGTGCCCTGGGTATAGAGGAGCAAAGTTCCAACTCCTAGTTCTAAACAAAAAAAAATGTTTGATTTTTCTCGTACCCTGGACTTAACCATGTGTAGTTTTAGTGGGATGCCTTTGAAGGTTAGACTTTTTGTTTGAATTTCATTTTGAGAAGATCAAGTTCTTGTGTGATTTATTGCAAAAGAGAGGGCATATTGATTTGTATATCTGCTTTAGGTCATGAGCTAGCGAACCATCTCTTCTTTCCAATTCCCGTGAGTTTCCTTTTAAAACTATTGTACGAGTTTCTTTTTCAATTTGACATATGGTGACTTTTTCCCGAGGGATATTTAATCTCTCTTCTTTAGGTATATACTTTGGGGCGAGGCTAACATATAGAAGAAGATATTTTGAAAATGGTGCAGTCTCAGCTTTGTGTTAGTAATTTTTGTTGAAAAAGAGCATGGGTTTTTTCCTTTGAGCGATATACTTATTTCAATAGTCCTTTTCTTTTCCCTTTATCTACTTTGCATATTCAACTCTCATGGTGGCTTATGTATTAAAAACATTTCAATATGACTAGACTTGTTGTGACTAGTCATTGATTTTATTTGATTAGCCATGTGATGTCTATTGTATGTGAGCTCTTACTTCAATTGTATGTTTGTTGTATCATTTTAGGTGAAATGGCTTAACAAGCTGCTGAGCAAAATGTGGCCGTTTGTTGCAGATGTAAGTTTCTTTGCCGCATTTGCAGCGTAACAGTGTTAAACTTCATTTACAAAAATCCTACTCGTATCATAGCATTTATACAATTAAGATCAGAGTACTAAAGACATAACACATTTTTGTATGAAATGTGGTTTATATTTTACCCTCTATGCATTCGCTCGAGTGGCCTTTAGGAGGTCTACGAAATAATGATGTTGAGAATCCATATAAATGAATTAAATTTACCCAATCCATCAGCTTAAACTTTTGGGTTGAGTGGTGGTTTATTCATCCTTAACATGGTATCAGAGTGGGAGGTCACGTATTCGAACCCCTACATTGTTGTTCCCCCATTTATATTGATTTTCACTTGTTGGACCTTGTCAATTATCCAAGCGCACAAGTGTGGGAGAGTGTTGAGAATCCATATAAATGAATTAAATTTACCCAACCCATTAGCTTAAGCTTTTGGGTTGAGTGGTTTATTCATCCTTAACAAATGAAGATATGTTTTAAATGTTATTACTATCTATAGACTGAACATTTTTGTTGCTTTAATACTCAAGAGTATGCAAGTATGTTTTATTACTTTTGATAGAAAACCGTCGATCATATTGCATTTTCAGATGACCTCATATTCTCTTTTGAGTTTCCTAAATTTATCTGCCCACTTGCAGGCAGCAGAATTGGTTATAAAGGAATCTGTTGAACCTCTGCTGGAAGAGTACAGACCCCCAGGAATTACTTCATTAAAGTTCAGCAAGTTATCTCTTGGTTCAGTGGCACCAAAAATTGAAGGTATGATTATTTGGTATCCCCCCACAGCCTCTATGTTTGTTGGTTGTTGTTACAACTTCAAATCCTCTCCTATATATCGTTTTCCTTGAAAATATGACGAGAGCCCTGATGTTATAATTGCCTCGTGGCATCATTAATCCTATATTTCTTTGATTGACATAGGATCTGCACCTGGTAAAGAAATTATTATTCTCATGATTTGTAAAACGTGATGGTGATGGTTCTGTGTACGGCCTTTTTGCTTATAATATACCTGATTTTGTCTTTCTTTGTTTCACTACATATGTTTAATCAACACTTAACTGAATTTACCACCCTTTCATTTGTCTTAACTGAAGTTTGATTTTCCTCCCTTCGTTGTATGGTTGGTTAGTGTTTTTTTTTTCCTTTTGTTGGCCTGTTTTTATTTTCTCTCTTGTGCATGCCTATGCTTGCAAGATCGAAGTTGAGAGAGGAACACAAACCTCTGTCCCTTGCCTTCCTTGCCTTCCTTGCCATTTTCTCAGTTCTAGTGTTCTATTTGAAGAAAATACTTGTCATTTCCCAATTTCTAGTCAAAGTATTCTCAACCATTGAATATTGCTTTTTAGTGTTGGAAATTCCTTATAATTGCAGGTATACGTGTTCAGAGTCTAAAGAAAGGTCAGATCACAATGGATATTGATTTTCGATGGGGTGGAGATCCAAGCATCATTTTAGGTGTTGAAGCTGCACTTGTTGCTTCAATACCTATTCAGGTAGGTGCATGAAATATTTGGTAGTTTTTTTTTTTCAGGTTAAATGACATGTATAGTCCTTGAACTTTCAAGCTATGTCTGATAGGTTCTAACTCATAGGTCCTTAAACTTTCAATTTTTGTCTAATAGGTTCCTATACCTTAAAAGTGTCTATATTATATGGTAAATAGTAAAAGCCTTGGAGGGAATGGGTTCAAACCATGGTGGCCACCTAGGATTTAATATCCTACCAGTTTCCTTAGCAATCAAATATAGTAGGGTCACACTCACACCACGGTCATCTTGTGAGATTAATCAATGTGTGCATAAGCCTCAAACACTCACGAATATAAAAAAAATACTTGTTTTTAAAATTCACAATCCTATTCGACACAAAATTGATAGAATCCTAGGATCTTGACTTTTCAATTGTGTCTAATAGGTCAATAAATTTGTCTAATAGGCGACATAAAATTGTGGACCTACTAGAGGCAACTTGAAAGTTTAGAGAGCTTGTAGTTTAACCATTTTTTAAAATCTTATATGTGTTACTATACTTTGCAAGTGTTGGATCATGATAGTATTTATTTGGCTAATGCTATCATTTTTTCTGCTGCAGCTGAAGGACCTTCAAGTTTTTACTGTTATTCGGGTTATTTTTCAACTTGCTGAAGAGATACCCTGTATTTCTGCTGTTGTTGTCGCCCTACTTGCTGAGGTACATTTTAATATGGCATTGATGTGGCTACGAAGGTTGATGGTTTGTTTAATCGTACTGTTGAATATTAATTTACCTCCCTTGAAGAAATGTAAAATTGAATCCTCGCCCTGAATTTATGATGTAACTGTTTCCATATTCCTAGACATTTAGTCATTTAGATACTTAAAAACTAGAGCATTTGAACAGGAGAAAACGCTTTAAAAGTAGAATTAAACCATACCAAGAATATTACTTGGTACAACCGTACAATCACAAGATTGCCTTCTGAATTAGTTCCACCGAATATAAATATTATGCCATTTTGAAGTTACAAAATTTTTTTTATACTCTTTACAAATGTACTTTTCCAAGAACTCGAAATTTAAAATGGAAGCTAAGCTATCTCTATCTCCATGCTTATTATCCTTGCTTCACAAGCCTAGAACATTGTATTGAATATTAAATGACATTTTAATGAGATTGTCCGGGCTAACTTTTTGGCAAGTGTTCGAAGTCATTGAACTTATGGAATGCTACATTTTTTTTCAGCCGGAGCCAAAAATTTTATATAATCTCAAGGCCGTTGGTGGAAGCCTAACTGCTATTCCTGGAATTTCAGATATGATTGATGTAAGTTTCTTTTGGTATTTTGACTTTTCAAAATTTTTAGTATTTATCTTTTTGTTATATGTTTAGATATTTTACATTGCTCATGCTTGTACCACATAATGCAGGATACCGTGGATACAATTGTTTCCGATATGCTCAAATGGCCACATAGGATTGTTGTTCCAATTGGTGGCATACCTGTCGATTTAAGGTTACATAATCTCTCTTTTGTTTCCCTCTGCATCTATGAAATTGGGGCGAGATATTTATTAGTCTGTATCTGCTCTTACCCTTGAGCAATTGTTTTTTTTCCTCTGAATAAAATTTGCAGTGAGTTAGAGCTTAAACCACAAGGAAAGCTTACCCTGACAGTTCTGAAAGCTAACAGCTTGAAGAACATGGAAATGATAGGAAAATCGGATCCTTATGCTGTTGTGCATATTCGGCCACTATTCAAATACAAAACAAAGACAGTTGAGAACAACCTCAACCCTGTTTGGAATGAGGAATTCGAATTGATTGTAGAAGACAAGGAGACACAGTCAGTTATCCTCGAGGTTTTGAACTTATACTCCTTGTTTTTATTCTTTGTTAATGTGCACTTCTTTGGTTTTTCCCCTCTCTTTATGGTTTGCAAGATGGTTCTATGTCTTCGGAAGCATCAGGTCCATCTGTCATTCACCCGTTATCTCAGTTGATTACTCGGTGTTTATTCAGTATAAGAATTACACACAACACGCGAGAAGGCTGGATTTATATATAGAATTACACGGTGCTTGCTTGAATATGGACTAAATGCTAATGGCAAAACCTGAAGATTGTGATGTCTGCCTGTAAGAACTGGGCAGAAACCTTCATTCCCTATCTATCATAACAGCCTACCCCTGCTGTGGAGTTGTTGATCTGAACCGATTGTAGTAAGTAGTAATTTACGGCATTTGTTTACACTTTGAACAGGTTTATGATCAGGATATTGGTCAAGATAAGCAACTGGGGATAGCGAAATTACCTCTGATTGATCTTCGAGGAGAGGTCACTAAGGAGATTGAGCTGCGATTGCTTGCATCGCTCAACACACTGAAAGTGAAAGACAAGAAAGATCGAGGAACTCTCACAGTCAAGGTAGAGTTCAATCCTTTAATGAAAACGTGTTTGCATAACTATTCCTCTTGCTCCCTATCATTCAGAACCACTGAAATAGTTCTATAGAATAATTAGAGTTCAATTCTTTGATGAAAACATGTTTGCATAACTATTCCTTTTGCTCCCTATTATTCAGAACCACAGAAATAGTTCTATAGAATAAGTAGACCGACATCTTATTCTTGCGTGTTATTATTCAGAACCACTGAAATAGTTCTATAGAGTAATTAGAGTTCAATTCTTTGATGAAAACATGTTTGCATAACTATTCCTTTTGCTCCCTATTATTCAGAACCACAGAAATAGTTCTATAGAATAATTAGAGTTCAATTCTTTGATGAAAACATGTTTGCATGTTTTTAAAGATACTTCTACAGACTGTAAAGGTATTTTACTGTATTTATTCGCGTTGTTACCCAGGTTCATTACCACGAGTTTAACAAGGAGGAGCAGTTGGACGCTCTGGGAAAGGAGAAGCAGATCCTTGAAGAGAGAAAGAAACTCAAGGAGGAAGGAGTTTTGGGCAGCACAATGGATGCCCTTGAGGGAGCTGCATCCTTTGTTGGGTCTGGCCTTGGCAGTGGAGTTGGAATGGTAGGTAGCGGCATTGGCAGCGGTGTTGGTCTTGTCAGTAACAGCATCAACGCTGGAGTTGGCATGGTCGGGAGTGGCCTTGGTGCTGTTGGCAGTGGCCTCTCGAAAGCTGGAAGGTTTATGGGGCGGACCATCACCGGGCAATCCACCCACTCCAGAAGGGGCAGTTCTTCTTCAACCCCAAGCAGCGCCCAGGAAAATGGTGGATCGAAGCCGTGGTAGTATGTTCGATCGTGCAGTGTGACAGGTAGGAATTGTGAAATATCTCAACTGGGTTTGTACCGTTTAAAATTCTTTCGTCTCGTTCTTCATCTCGTAGTGATTTCATGTGTTCTTATCTATTAGAATTGGAAAAGTTTGCATAAATTTTGTAAAGTTCTTCCATACAATGTGCATTTGTTGCAGAAGAATAACTTGTGAAAATTTAGTCTGTATGCATCTGTTTTGAATCACGTCGAATAAATGTAATTTATTACTATGACTAGCGTTCTTTTTCTCTTATTAGAAACTGAATTAGTTTTCTGTTTCATGTTTAATGAGGAAGTTGAATCCTTTTATAGTTGTTTGATTTGATTGGAGATGCCATTGTTTGATAGCTCAAGAGCTTAGAATTTTTCATTTTACTTGAAACTGTGTACTTTAGTGGGACTAGTTTATATAGTTCAGGTGTTTGCTTGAAAGAAAAATGGTTTACTTCAAAACGTTTGTTCTTTGTTTGAGTCGGAAAAAAATTTAAAATACTATTATGGTTCCTGTACTTTCAGCTTTTGTTCATTTTCGTTATTCTACTTTTAGTTTTTGTCTATTTTAGTCTTTTCATTTTCGAAACGCTTGTTTTGATTCGTGTAGTTTTAAAAAGTGTTCATTTTATTTTCTTATCTATTTTTCTTTCTATCATGATTTCAACCCGATACTACACAATATAATTTCAAGTTAGAAATTTACATTAAAAAGCTTCCATTGTCTAACTTTTATAAATAGGAACCAAAATACAAGGACAAAAACAAACCTTTTAAAAGTAGAAAGACTAAGCGAACTGAAGTTGAAAATACAAGGACCAAAATATATAGAAGTTGAGAGACTAATAAAGCCGAAAGTATCGAGATCAAAATAACATTTTAACCAAAGAAAAATGATTAGTTTTAAAGGGAGGTAGGGTATGAAGCAATATCAAGGTGATGAAGTTGAGAACTCAAGAAAAATAACAACAAATGAAGTCGTAACTCATTAAAAAGTTTCAAATACAGAGACCAAAATAGGCATTTTGAAAGTAGAGATACTAGAGAACTAAGTAGTATTCTAGTCAAATAAAAAAATTACAATAAGTTTTAAAAGGTGATATAAGGGTATGAGCGATATCAAGGTGATGAAGCTAAGAATTCAAGAAAAGCATGATGAGTTCAACTCGTTGGGAGGAAACAGACGAGTAGGAGAGGTGAGATCATTACTTTGGGTACTACTCTTAAATAAGGAGACAAACTCGTTCGAAAGACGAGTAAGAGAGGCGAGATCATCGCTTTGGATCCTACTCTTAAACGATTCCATTCATGGGCATTTAAGTGAGACAACAAAGACTGCCAAATACAACACACAACCATTACATCAAAGTGATTGAGCTGTTTTTGTAGGTTTGTTGGAGTTGAAAGTGAAGTTACTTAATGCCACATTTATTCACATTTTTGTTTCTTTCCTTAATACTATACTCCTTTTTGTTCTCACTCAATGCCTACAAGAAAAGTCTTCTTTCTTTCCTAATGCCCTTCGAAAACTACTTCTTAACTGTCTTTTTTTGGGCTAAAACTTTGCAACTCACACCTTACTGTTCCATCAGACAGAAAATACCGTTGTTGCTCGATACCGTTAAAATTTAGTGACCGCTTCTTCTTCTTCTGCCTGGCACGTCGTTTCAAATTTATTAACGGTTGTCTAGAAGACATGCTACATCGTTGTTTAATCAACAATATTAGTTGTATGAAGGACTATATAGAATAAAACTCGGAGATTAAAAAGACACAAATATTTTTAGAAATAGATGCATTTACTGCTAAGTTATACTAATGCAAGTACTCACAAATATTAAAGTTAGCGAACTAAATCTAAACATTTAATTTTAGTATCTGTCTTTAATTTTTATAATAAATATTTAATACTAAAAATGATATGACCATGTTTTTTTTCTTCAAAGATGTCTTCATTCTCGAAATGTTTAAAGTCACATATAGTGAGTCAAATTTTGTATTATTAAAACGAGTTAAGTTTTCTATTAAATAATTTTGCAAGAACTAAAATAGGGTTAAGAGAAATTTTCAATTTTTCCTCCGTACTTGCCTCAATATATCAAGCTTAACTTTAAAGTTTAAATTATCAATTAACTATCACCTTCTCAAAACTAAATTAAAAAACTACATGAAAATTTTCAAAAGAAAAAATTGAAAAATTGGAAGTTAAATGAAACTTTTTTTTAATTAATTAATTTTTTTAAATTAACAAGTCTACCAAGCACTGAGATAGTGTGTCCCACATTTTTTTATTCTCTTTATTGGGAGCAATTCCCAGAAAAATAAATTTAAAAAAAGTTTATTGTTTTTTAATTCATTATTGTTAGATTCCTTTCACGAAGCTACATTTTGTTTATATATGTTTTATTTTTTAAAATAATTATTTTACTGTATTTTAATTTTTACCCTTTTCTCAAATGTGAGAGTAATAATAGATAATCTTATTAAAATTTATATACCATTATTTAGTTTGCATTAATTATGGCTAAGATAACTTAAAAGATGAAATTTTAGCGTCCAGGAAATAAAAAATAATATCATAACAAGTTGATCATCATAAAAATACTATATATATTAAATTTAATAAGTTCAAATAGAATGGCTCTATCAACCTCACGACTCAATTTCTTTTATATTATAATTTATATAAAAACTATATGGTATCGCATTATATTCAATTAAATGATTAAAGAATGTATAAGGTCAAGTGAAATATTTAATGGATTATTGACCAAGAAAATGTGATGTCTCCATTATCCACATTTTTTCATGATTGTTTTTTGTTTATTATAATATATGATTGGAGTTTACAAGACCTTCTAACAATAAAAAAGTTTAATAGAAACAATATTCTTTTCACAACATAAAAATCCACCTCCTTTTTTAGTTTCTAATTTTTAAAAATTGAGCTTATAAAAACCCATATACCTATAAAATCACTTTTGAAATGTAGAAATTAAAAAAAAAAATAAAGATAACAATATAACCATGTTTTTAGAGACTACTTGATTTTAGTTTTTGAAAGTTTGGTTATGGTTTCGAGAATTATTTTTGAAGGAGATTAGAAAATAAACGAAAAAGAATAAGGAAATTGTTAGATATCTTATAAATGGTTAAATTTATCACAATGTATCAGCTTAAGTTTTTTAGTTTGTTGATGATTTAATCATGTTTAATATAAATAACATAAATTTTAAAAACGAAGATAAAATTGTAAGAGAATGATTATTATTCTTCGAATTAGACTATAGGTTCTAAAATCAATTTTATAATTATATCACTTCAACTAACCAATTGTTTAACAAATTAGCAAAGAAATGATTGAAAATAATAATATAAGATGGATAGTTGAGTTAGCTTAAGAAGTTTTTTTAGTCTATCTACATTTGAAAGATTACAAGTTGGTCTTTATTTACAAAATTTTAACATAAATTTTATATCAAATGGAATCTTTTAATATAAATTTATTTTTCTATGTCAAGAAATTTAATCAGTAAAGGATCGTGCTGAAATTTTGATCAAAATAAATGAGATAAAAATAAAAATTCAAGATATCAAATAATAAATTTTTAAAATTATAGAGATTAAAATGAATATTTCAAAACTAAAAAAAACTAAAATGAATAAAAGTTGAAAGAATATAAACCAAGACATTGACCAACATATAATTAATAATAGTTTACAAACATGGAGATACAATACAAATACGAACATATCATACTTCACTTATCTATTAAAATTTTAGTTAAATAAGAGAGAACAATCTATTTTTCTCTTAAAGAAAATATCATGATTTTTGTAGTACAGTAAGTAGAAATGGAAATTTCAACTCACGATATTTTTAAAGATGGTTTAAATAATTGAAGTTTGCATATTTTAATGATTTTTTAGAATGTATTGCGTTAGAGAGGGGAAGAAAGACCCGTTTTTTTTCAAAAGATTTTTTAGGAAACGATAAAAATTTTTCTCTTGATCTAGAAAAAAAAAGGGACTTGAATTTTACAAGTTTTTATAATTTAAAAATAAAGTTGTCATTAATAATAATTGAATTTTCCTTTATTTAAGTGTATATTAAAAGGTAGTTATGATCTAATTAGAGTGAAATTTGGATGAGTATTATAGATACATTTACTATTGTTGATGCAAGAATTTGGAAGAGATGCTACATCAACAAACAAGTTCGAGTTACCGTCAAGTCGAACTTAGAAGATTTTGTTTAAAGATTGTGTATCTTTAAAAGGAGGAATTTCACTTTTTTTATAGTGGAATATTGGGAGTGCAACCCTTCCACTTTGACACTTGTATCTAGTGTCGGCATATTTTTTGTTGGCATCATCCACCTTCCATAGGACGGTGTCAGCAAAATTCTTGTCGAAAGTATACTCATTTTCAAGTTGAGGTTGAGCTGGACTATCTTTCAATTTGACAGTGGATAATTCTGCCAATTCCAATTTACCATTCAAATGACTGAGTATAGACCTAGATATGTTTCGGGATGAATGATCCACGTGGCAAGTACAGAGACTATCTAGACAAAGTAAAATAAATGGATAAGAAAAGAAGGGAAAATATATACATATATATATATATTTTTTTGCAGGCTTAGATTGCAATTGAAGGGTATGTTCCCACTTCCCCCAGAAAATCTCTCGATAATATAATAACCATTGGAAAATCGACAAGGTTTGAAAATTTCCAAATTCCAGCAAAAGGAAAAAAAAAAAATAATAATAATTTTATTTGTACGCGCGACACAGGTCGCGCGTGGGGAGAGAACCCGAATTCAGTCACGTAGATCCCACCAACGTAGATTCGTTGAGTACTTGGTTTAGGGAATAACAAGTCAATCCCACGCGCACAAGAGCCGCGCTTGTCTTACACCGCCTCCCTTAAACTGCTTCTCACGTATTCCCTTCACATGCGGGTTACGGAACAGTAAAAACCAACCAATTAAGAGGCGGACACGTCTCCCATAATATCAAAGGCCATTCGACTGTCACCATCTGATAATGACAACGTTCTCGTGACCGTTCCTAATCTAATTGGTTAATTAATCTCAAATCTATTTTTAGTTCCAATCAATTTTTAAATTATCTATTTTAACCATTCAATTTTTTCAAAAAACTATCATTTCGATCTTTTTTTAACAAATGAATAAAAGATGACTTTCGAGTATCTATATTAAAATATTGTTGAAAATAAGATAAACTTTGTTGGGGGAGTATAGAATAATAACTACTTTTTAAAAGTTGATTGCAAAAAATAATATTTTGACTTTTTAAATTTTAAATTACTATTTTATTGTTTGTAATTCATTCCTAAAATTTTAAAATTTTTTATTTGATCTCTATGAATTTGTTAAACCGTTGATTATGTCTGTTATTTTAACATCTTTATTTTAGTTCAACAATTTCAATAGTGAAAAATCGTTGGAATTTTGAAATAGTAATGAATACCTTAAGCTATGCGCATCTTTACTCTAATCATTAATCATTTGTTAATATTAAATTATTTAGTTGATATAGTTTTGAGTTAAATATTTATTATTTTGTTGATATATTGTAAATTGTTAGGATAAAAAAAATACCTACCATTATTAAAATAAATAACATTTATAATTATTTTAATTTAAAATAATATATTTAATAAATGTATTTAAAATAAGTTAGAAATAAAAAATTTATTTTAATAATTGTTATATATGTGACTTTTATTTTAAATTCCGATAATATTTTATTGATTCCAGGGAATTTATAGTAAATAATTTGAAAAAAAAACATTTTCATTTTGATTTCATTTGAATCACGATTCGGTCTTATAATTCTCTCAGTATGATACATTTGCTTGGGATGCGTGATAATTTTTTAAAACATGCTAGAGAGATTACTTTGTTAGATTTAACCAAATCTATGGGCCAAATCGATATTTTCAAAATTAGGAGGACCAAATAGAAATCCAACCAAAAACAAAAATTTTAATTTAATTTAAACTATTTTTTATTGTTTATTTAAAAAAAAAAATATTTACAGTTTGAGAGAGAGAGAGAAAAAATTCTTCATCTTCTTCTCCTTCTTTTTCTCCTTCTCCTTCAGCTTGGCTTCTGTCAGAGTTCAGTCTTCTCCATGAG